TCTTTAATGTTGGAGAGTGTCCTTTGTTTAATATTCACTGCAGGACATAGACCAAGGTGAGCGACACAGGCTCTTTAGAGCCTCTAGTTTTGTTTAATAAAATTCCCTTTCTCGGAAACGTAAAATCTAAAATTTATAAAATTCGAAAGGGAGGATACCTCAATAGATATAAACAATTCACCGAAGTTTACAGCGTTTTTGAGTTATTTTCCGACATGCTGACGACGGACGGACGGACAACGGTATACCATAATACGTCCCGTATAAAAACTCCGGGGTTCACCACGAAAAATATTATTAATTGTGACAACAAAAGTACCATGAAATGAAGTTGAAAAGATTATGAGTCCCCTGCACTATGTTCTAAAGACCTTTTTATAAAGGATCCAATAATTTCTAATTTAATACTGGAAAGTTGTGGTAGAACGTTTTCCGAACAGAAAATTTGCATTAAATTGAAAAAGGCTAATTTTGATCAACGTAGTAATATGTTTTGGAGATTTATTGAGAATATATGATATTTTCATTTATTAAATAACAGTTATAAACTAGAAAAGTCATTTTTAAAGTGGAGAATACCTTTTTCCTTATTTAAATTTTCGTTAAAAAACCCGGACCGTTTGTTTAAAAACCCGGACAGTTTCACAGTTGCTCTCGAAAAAAACCCGGACAATATTAAACACTGAATTTATTGGTTAAATACAAGGAAATTGTGCTTTTTTGTTGCTCAAAACATGTATAGTATTCAAAATAAGTTGGGTAGTCAAGTAAAAAATATGATACTATTACGAAATAGCAGTTAATTGACCTGATTGCATGTTTTATCACTCGAAAAAACCCTATCTACACTCGAAAAAAATGGACCGATTCACTCGAAAAACCACGATCATAGCCGGACACTATACCTACCGTGCTATATCTGATTTCCAGAAAATTAACACATGCAGCAGATGTCAGTTGGATTTGTACATGTATGTCAGATACAGGTATATTTAAATGAATTGTTGCCATGGAATTAAGGCTCGATAGCCATTTACGTGTTATTGAATATTGTTTCTCACCAAAAACATCCAGTGACATATATTTTTTAGAATATTATTAATTTCGACACGATAAAAACAGGTATCTAACCAAAATAACAGTAGGGAAATTTATAGTCATTTCTATTACATTTTGTTTTATTCATTCATTCAGTGGAGGAAATTAAACGACTAAAATTTCGGTGACAATTCTTTTGGAATATTTATATTGTTACGACAAAAACAAGTATCCATCAATTTATCAATATCGCCTCTTCGTTTATAGACTACGTTATTCCCTTTTGTAGCTCTCCTCGAGCATTCACTTGTTTCAAGTACAATGTATAGGGAACCATTTTTAATTTAGGGTTAGGTTTACAAGTTTGGCTAGTGTTAGGGTAAGCCCCCCCCCCCCCCCTTTTTTTCTCGAAATTTCTTTGATATATTGTTGTGTATGCATTTTGTTTACATTTATTAGGACATTTTATGGTCATTGATTTCATAGTTTACTTGGCCAAGGAGGCGGAGCTAGCACTACAAAAGTCTAAAAGTCTGAAAAGACCAGTTTTTGTCTTAATTTGCATGAACTTTTACTCGACATTCTCCAAAAGTATGACTTGTGTCTTAATTTTTCTTGACAAATTCTCATTTATATTAAATTTGTATGAAATTTACTCGACATATTCTCGACATTCTGAATATGGTCTTAAAATTTCTTGACAAATTCTTGACATTTGAATACTGTCTTGAAATTTCTCGACATATTCTCGACATTCTTATTTTTTCTCAGTATGGCTTGACGTATTCTGAACATTTTGAATCGTGTCTTAAATTTACTTGACAGTTCTGAGTTTTACAAATCATGACCAATATTCATGATATAACTTTAATCTTTATTTCTCTTTATATGATATACTGTTGTTTCAAGTTACACTTCTTTACAACAAAAATAAAAGTTTGGCATGTAAAATAATTGAAAATTTGAATATATAAATATTTTTACAAATGCAAATATGGCTATGAAATCTTAAGTATAAAATAATTCAAATGTGGGTGTGTTGATATAAAACAATTTCAATGTGGGTTTTTAAATAATTACAAATTTTGATTCCTAAATCTTATAAATTAAATGATTCAAACCAATCATACTGTAGACATATTTCATTCTACATTCATAATATTCAAGAATGATATGGTAAATAATTATTATACCAAAATGTGGTTTATATAAATAGCAAATTATGATGATATACAAGTCATTCATTTAACAGAAGAAAAATTTGTGTAATGTCATCTGTTGGAATATATATATTAAGTATTACACATGGACAGGATGTTCCCCATAAAATTAAGGTATTCCACACCCCAGAGTACACGCAACTGTCAAATAGAAGTTATTGCTTTACCTGTAATCAGCCATACAACTTATCAGTTGACCGACCATGCCACTACAATTTAAAAATTTGTTGATAGATGAAAATGAAAATCATCATTTTGATGAAAAAAAAATTGAATTGAAATGGATTTTCTTCATCAAAATTATGAAGTTAATTATTTTAACATAAAAACAAATTGAATAATTCCCAAAGATTAAAAGAAAATTATTATCTACTCCAGGAATAATAAAAAAAATGTATTTATAATGGGTCCCATCAATGATTTCTATAGAAATCATCGGTCTTATGAAATGGTTCTCAAACAGACATGCATAATATAGATCTAAACAAATTACATTTTTTTCTTTTCAGGAAGGAGTTATCACAAATATTTTTTTTGATAAAAAATTATAAAATTCAACACTCAAATTTGAATAAAAAATGTTTTTGGGTTGTTCTAAAAAATGAATAAGGTTTTTGAATCAAGATGGGAACAAATTCTTTGACTTAAACGAAAGCCCCCCCCCCCCCCTCTTTTTTTAGCCACACAAACCCAAAAGATGAATTGTGGGGTCCAAAAGAGATACAAGACACCTATTTAAGTAAAGCAAATTTGAACGGCAGTTTTGCGAACGGCAAAAATCTAAATGCTGTTTGTCAATACCTTCGACTTATATTCCAAGTGAAAACAATTACTTAAATGTTTAATAAAAAATAAATCAAAATTAAATTACATGGGGGATTATTCAGGGTATTCCAACTTAGTTGCACCAAAAGGGTATCTTACTATACCATATTAATCCTTGATTCTTCAAAGTTTAGTTTAGCCATAATAAAAAGGAGTATATAACAGCAATAGAATGTCATAGACAGTGCAAAATAAGTCTGTTCACATTTCAGGCGAAATTTATACTGTTGAGATAGTGTCAAGACATATTTAAGACTGTCAAGAATGTGTCGAGACATATTCAGACATTATTTAGAATGTCAAGAATATGTCGAGACATATTCAGACATTATTAAGAATGTCAAGAATATGTCAAGACAGATCGAGACAAATTTAAGACAGTCAAGAATTGGTCGAGACTAATCCACACTCTTATCAGATGATACAGGAAGTGTCGAGAAATTTTAAGACAATGTTCATACTATCAAGACACTTGTCAAGAAAAATCAAGAACCTTATTAGACAAATTCATACTATGTCAAGAATTTTTAAAAATTATTCAGACAAATTAAGAATGTCGAGTAAAAATTCATGCAAATTCAGACAAAAACTGGTCTTTTCAGACTTTTTGACTTTTGTAGTGTAGACAGTGAAAAACTTTTGAGATGGAAGTTAGAGCACTGGTCTAAGCTCCTCCCGTTTTTTGCTTTTCCTATGACAAGCGACACACGGCGGGACTGGAGAGTGCAATAACTAAAAAAACATTCAGTTAATTTAGTTGAATCTAGAGTTGTAACACAGTACATGATATATTAGGCATGAAGATGGATCGATATGTCGTAGAGTTGTCACTTGTTAAGACGTACTAATACGTACAAATAATTATTTCTGTGACTGCATTTTACGATCCTTTACGACACATAATTTAGCTAATCTGCAATCAATTCCATCTTCATGCCTAATATATCATGTACTGTGTTACAACTCTAGATTATACTGACGAGGAAAGGTAACACTGGACCACCGAAAGTTGAGTTTTTAGTTCAGTCTAGGCGGCCTAGTAGTCTAGAGCGCTGGACACAGTGCAGGCGGTGTTGTCTCAATATCTCAATAGCATGAGTTCGAATCCCGGCGAGGGAAGAACAAAAATTTGCTTCCGCAAATTTGCAGATTTAACATTGTTGTGCTGATATGTAGAGTAATTATATATATTATGATTTTTTAATCCAATAAAAAACTTATTAAGAAATTAAATACATAAACTCGTTTAAGGATGTTAGCTACTCTTGTTTTTGATTTTTTGTCAGATATTCGGAATCCTCTGGTTTTATCCATGAAGTGCCATTTAAAAATTTTGCCCACTAACCCCTCCTTTTTTCCTTAATTTGATTACATATAGTTTGAAATGTCATCTTTGAAAATTTTTAAAAATCCTTGTTATTTTTTCATGGTTTTTGAAAGTAAAAAGGTGTCAATGTTAAATGTATGAAAAATCTAGAGAGAATTATTTCCCGCAAAATTTTCAGTGCCTTATAATATCTCGAAAACCAGCACACGGCCCCATCATTTTTTTCTGCTTTTTTAGTTTCTATATTTATGTTCAATCAATTTGTAACAGTCTTTTAAAAAGCTTGTTATTTTAAAACAGAGTAGCGAACATCCTTAAGATAATATTCAAGACTACTAATGATAGAATTTTCAATGAATGTATGAACTTTAATAATGTCATCATAAATATTTTCAGGCTCATTGTATATATAAATTAAATGCAGTCAAAATGTGTATTACGTTTCTCTTCTTAAATATTATGTTACATTCTGAAAAAAAAACATCATTAGTTGTTCAAAAAATTTCTTAATCATTTTGCCAGTCATAGTGAAATTTGTGAGGGTACTAAAAATTAACTAACATTCTTATAAATTACTATGTCTTTTTTAGGAAGACGACCAAATGTTCCTAAGATCGGGATAATCGTAACGGACGGAAAATCAAGTTCTTCATCTGCAACCGTTTCTGCCGCAAATGCTGCCAGAGCCAGTGGAATAAAATTATTCGCTATCGGGATTGGTAGCAGTATTAGTAGTTCAGAACTGAGGGGTATAGCTAATGACCCAGATAGTGACTTTTATTTCAAAGTCAACGATTTCAGTGCATTGAAGTCAATTGAAAGCAGTCTTGCATCGAAAGCGTGCACAAGTATGTTAATTTTGATTCATAGTTCATCAAGGTTTTTCATCTGTTTGTTTACATAACAATTTTTTATTATTATGTTTATACAAGCAATTGGACTTACTTAATATGTTACTGCTGTTCGGAGACCATTGATTATAATTAAAATAATAATGGTGTCATATATAATGAATAAGTTCTAAGTCAGTCGACACTATTTTGTTGTTTTATTTTATTTTTGTTTTATGTTTGGTAATTTTTGTTTTCACTGTTTTTTACTGTTTTGGTTGTTTAGGTTTTTTAGGTTTAAAACATATATCATGTATTAACACTGGGAACTTTTAATTTGCAAAACACTCATTTGCAAATCCGCCGCCGCCTCTCCTTAGACCTACAGTGTCGTGTATATAACCAAAATGTGCGGAATTACATGGGATTCAATAATTTCATTGCTTTTCTGCTGTTATTATTATATATATTTTGTAATTTGATTTAGAAAAACATGGGATTTTCAATATCCCATGGGATATGGCAAATCCCATGGGATTTACCATTATCCCATGGGATTTTGGTTAAATCCCATAGGATTTTTTTGGGTCCCATGGGATAATTGTAGTCCCATGGGATATTTGTTGTCCCATGGGACAAAAAAAATCCCATGGGACTATAATTATCCCATGGGATTTTTAATATCCCATGGGACAAAATAAAATCCTATGGGATTCAAATTATAAATATACAGTAAATAAATGTGTATGTTACAATGAATTCTGTTTGGTAGTAAATTGTTTTAAGATGAATCTTTTTAGTTGAATATCTTTTTTCCTTGGAAATGTTAATGCAATTATATTGTTTTATAACTGTTCAAAACTAAACTTTTAAACAACAAAGCAGATAATGTAAGTATCAATATATGTTTATTTATGAATTCTAGAATACTTTTTTGAAACACAATTTTTTCCCATTTGAAATCAATGAAAACTCTATTAATAGGCTTAACATACTAGTAGCTTTTTACATAAATCTATTTTTTTTTTTCAGGATATCCCTCCACCCAAAAAATTAAAAGTTTCTTATCATCCAGCATTGTGTGATCGTAATGTATAGTCCACTTTTTGGCCATTCAGCACAGAACATTGTCATTATTGTGGTTTAGATATCTTTAGATATTTAATAGAACTTCAATTCATTGACTGAGTGATGAAAATAATAACTGATCTGACTTTTGTCTTTGAATTTATTTTGGTCTTGTTTCTGTGTTTTCTCCTTTTATTCTAAGTGATGAATTTCAATCCTTCTGAAAAAGAACCAATAAAATCCGAAGTTATGGATAATAAAAAATTGTTTGCATACATGTAGCAATAACATATGATTTTCAATAAAAATAGTTATGCGGTATGGATTTTACTGATTGTTGAAGATTGTCCAGTGTCATCAGTTGCTAACCTCCTACATCCTTTGGTCTCTGATGGAGAGTTGTCAAATTAGCAACATACCACATCCTTTGGTCTCTGATGGAGAGTTGTCAAATTAGCAACATACCACATCTTCTTATTCTAATATTATATAACAATCAATTTATGTAACATTTGGGTATTTTCCCCAGTTATATATATATATAGATCAATACTAAAACTTTAGGCAATTACCATAAAATTCCATTTTTCAAAAGAATTTGCAATATATTATACAGAAAGCCAACAATAGAAACAGCACTTCTTTAAGCTTCTGAAGTTCTGAAAGAGTTCCACTTGTATTTTATTTCAATTAGAAAATACATTGAACTCTTTGGACATGTTGGAAATTATAACATTGATACAAAAAATTATATTGTTTTTTTTTCTTATTTTTCTGTTGTTCGGTTGCTGTCTCATTTTTATATATGGTTATACATATATCCTAAATCTTCTTTTTTTTTAAACTTAATCATTAATAGTAAAAATGGGATATTTTTTATTTTGATAATCTCAAAACATTTTTATTCTATCAAATAACTTATTTCCAAGTTCACAAAACACCAATGTGTCAGATATTAAATTTAAGACATGTATAAACATGATCAACAAGCAGTTGACAGGATGTCATGCAAAAATCTCACTAATATTAAACTTTCACAAAAACTCCATACTCAGCGAGTACTATTAAAGTTCTTTATAGTACAGGACAAATTCCTAGTACAGGACACCATGCCTGGCAAACACTAGCATGTGTCAATGTCTAGTCAATCATGTAATCAGGCTCAAAATCTTAGTTCGGCACAGAATTTAAAAATTCAACACATAATGAACATGTGTATGAAATTCAACTTCATGGTAAGCTATGTACCTTAACCTAAAACTTTAACCTAAGAATGTACTATAATTTCACATTATGACATTTCTATGTTCAGTGATCCATAAAATCAGGGTAAAAACAGTAAATGTGGTGTATAATGTATAAACAAGAGTGCACATGCTGAAATGTTGTGCCTTCTTTACTAATCATTGATATCATGTTGATAGTCCTAAATATAAAGCTTTACTACAACTATCACATAAACTCAACATGATCCAAGAAAATGAATTCAAGGTCATATAAACCTGACAAGAAATATATGTACACCTTACAATCATTCAATATACTAAATACAGTTGACCTATTGCTTATAATTTCTAACATTGTCTAAGAAGCAGACTTAACCAAGAAAACTAAACATTGACCAATGAACCATGGAAATGAGGTGAAGGTCAGATGAACCATGCCAGGCAGACATGTACAGCTTACAATCCTTCCATACAACACATATAGTTGACCTATTGCTTATAGATTAAGAAAAACAGACCAAAACACAAAAACTTAACACTGAGCAATGAACCGTGAAAATGAGGTCAAGGTCAAATAAAACCTGCTAGACTGACATGTACATCATAAAATGTTTCCATACACCAAATATAGTTGACCTATTGCATTTAGTATTAGAAAAAAAGACCAAAACTCAAAAATTTAACTTTGACTACTGAACCATGAAAATGAGGTCAAGGTCAGATGACACCTGCCAGCTAGACATGTACACCTTACAATCATTCCATACACCAAATATAGTAGACCTATTGCATACAGTATAAGAAAAACAGACCAAAACACAAAAACTGAACTATAACCACTGAACCATGAAAATGAGGTCAAGGTCAGATGACACCTGCCAGTTGGTCATGTACACCTTACAGTCCTTCCATACACTGAATATACTAGACCTATTGCTTATAGTATCTGAGATATGGACTTGACCACCAAAACTTAACCTTAAATATAAAAAAGAAGATGTGGTATGATTGCCAATGAGACAACAACTCTCCACAAGTGACTAAATGACACAGAAATTAACAACTATAGTCACCATACGACATTCAACAATGAACAAAGCCCATACTGCACAGTCAGCTATAAAAGGCCCCGAAATGACAATGTAAATCAATTCAAACGAAAAACTAACGGCCTAATTTATGTACAAAAATTGAATGAAAAACAAATATGTAACACATAAACAAACGACAACCCTGACTTGGGACAGGCACATACATACAGAATGTGGCTGGGTTAAGAATGTGAGCGGGATCCCAACCCTCCCCCTAACCTGGGACAGTGGTGTAACAGTACAACATAAGAACGAACTATAAAAATCAGTTGAAAAAGGCTTAACTCATCAGATGGATAAAAATAAAAATACTACATTACAAGTGGACGTGGCCGGGTACTTGTACATCCAAACAACAAAAAGACACTAAGTACAGATCTGAGAGTACTCGCAGTTACTGACAGCTAGTACAAAGCCACTAACAACTAATAAAAAAAAATCATGCATCTAAGACTAAGTTCTTGTTCACTGATCTATGAAATGAGGTCTAGGTCAAGTGAAAACTCTCTGACGAGCATGAGGACCTTGCAAGGTACGCACATACCAAATATAGTTATCCTATTACTCATAATATGAGAGAAATTAACATTACAAAATATCTGAACTTTTTTTCAAATAGTCACTGAACCATGAAAATGAGGTCGAGGACAATGGACATGTTTCAGACAGAATTCGTATCATGAGGCATCTATATACAAAGTATGAAGCATCCAGGTCTTCCACCTTCTAAAATATAAAGCTTTTAGGAAGTTAGCTAACGCCACCGCCGTAGCCGCCACTGGATCACTATCCCTATGTCGAGCTTTCTGCGACAAAAGTTGCAGGCTCGACAAAAATACATGAACATTTTAAAGTACTAAATTTTGAGTATATACATGTAAAACCACAAGTTACTAACTGAAGTTCATGGTGAACTGTAACCAAAAACTTTAAGTGAATACAATTTAGAGAAAGACAGATGGATGCACAAACACTATCAAAACAGAGCATAAAACTTACCAAACAAGATGTTTTACATTTATCCTTCAGAAGCAGGAAAATTGAAGTGTTTCTTTTCTTTCTCTGCCCTCTATGATATAAACTTCAAAGTCATTCATGCAAAATATGAAAATCTGCAAAAGTAGGACCTTGTACCGCAGCTTATCCACATTTTGACTTTTGAACTGCATTGTTTTTTTCATTTTGCAGGCAACCTAAACATAAAAAAAAATGATAAACACATAATTCTGGATTAACTTCGTGTATTTATTTTTGTTGGTACAAACAATTTTTTCCAACTTTAAACTAAATCTGCCTCTGCTTTAAAAAACAACTGAAAACCATTATAAACTGCATGTATTTATCTTAATTGAAAACAATTTCTTGAGTTTTTCTCATTTGTATCACCCTGTTATTATATATAAATTTGATTTTTGTCCCTTTTTTAAATTCCTCAATAACCATGATAATTCTAGGTCAGTCAATTAAAAATGTATGAATAAATTATTTAACCTATATACTATTAATATCAATATATTTCATTTTTGATAAAAACAAGGCTCTGTGTTAAAGACCGTACCTTGACCTATAATGGTTTACTTTTATAAATTGTGACTTGGATGGAGAGTTGTCTCATTGGCACTCATACCACATCTTCCTATATCTGCAAACAGATTCTATGGACGAGCAGACATTATACCCTGGAGGTGGTTTTAAAAAAAGCATACGACTTAGATGTACCATAAGCATTCAGCAGTCAGTTTCACAAAAAAACTTACAAATAATATTGATAGTAATTAAGCCATGTACAATACAGTATACTTACGATTACTTGTAATTTTTTTTTTTGTAAAACCAACGCAAGTCTACTTATAATCAATCTTGGTTGTAAGTATAAAAGTATTATTCATCTTTTGGATAATTTGTTGGTTTATTTTAAGAATATACAGTGACGGATCCAGAACTTTTCATAAGGGAGGGCCGGCTCCAGTCATGCTTCAGTGATCCCTATATAATCAACCAAATTTTTCCCAAGAAAGGGCCCCCCCCCCCCCCCCCCCGATCAGCCTTTGATATATGTTTATATTATATCTCTCTCAGTGGCAGATCCAGAACTTTTCATAAGGGGGGGGGGGCCGCTCCAGTCATGCTTCAGTGGGGGGGGGGGGGTCAGAGGGGTACTGATCCCGAAATCCCGGGCTTAAAAACATGAAATCCCGAATTTAAAGAAATTTAAATCCCGACATCCCGACATTCGAATAAAGAATTCCCGGATCCCGAAAGGATCAATCCCGAAATCCCTAGCTTAAGGTTCCGCTAAAGTCAAATTTAAGATCAACTTCAAAGTTCAATAAATACATATTCAGTTTATATAGCATACCATATTATACATCAAAATCTTCCTTGTGATGAGTACTAACATAAAATATCATTTACAAACAACATGAAATGTTCACAGGTCCAATATTCTTCAAATTAGTAGTCTATGCTTCAAAAAATTCTACTGTTTTTCCAAGTTCCCAAAATCCTGAAAAAAATATTTAAAAAGGTAGAGGAAAAGCTAATGAAGTACAAGCTACTGTTAATTGATGTTAAAATACACCCCACAGTATGTATTAAGAGAATTAAGTTTGCTAGGTTAAAGAAAATTAGAGGACATATTTAATATGGAACTACTTTCCTACAAAAGTATGGAAGCCCATCTTCAATGAAAATAACATTAATGGACCATTTAGTATAAATCAATGGTATGCTCATTTATGGCATATTTACAGCATAAATTAATGTGTGTAGAGACATTTAATAATAAATTCATTTACATTTACTGGGAAAATACTGTATTTTGCACAAAAATGAAAAAGGGGGACTGTAAAAGTGAACATTATACATGTTATACACTCTAACTATATTATGTATATGTTTACAAAACAAAATTATTTATTTGAAGCTTAAAACTTAACATTTTCTTGAACTACTATGGCTAACAACATTATAATTTTGTGTTAGAATTTCTTTTGTAATTAGTAAGTTATTGATAATCATGTTAATCACATAAAACTGGAGGTAAGACAATTTTTTTTATCTTGTATAACATTTTTAGCAATCTTTCACATTGTAACTTATTGTAAAGCTTAATATAACATGTTTGTTCATCTATTAACAGTTAGTCTACATTTTCACTCAAAATCAGCTCAGTCTGCCCATTCATTATAGTAAATCACTGTCTGTTGGGTTTGACCAGATTCATCTTATGAAGCATGTACATGTGTATATGTTCAAATTTACTGAAAATATGGTCAAAGACAACTTTAAATTTTTCAATAAGTAAAGATTATTTTATCCTTTATATGTGTAATTATTGAACTGAAGACACCTTAATTATTTGGTTGTTTTAATTTCATGATGACATATATATGTATATATACACAATGTTTATATGTTACATTAATTGAAAAAAATACATTTCATCAATAGAATCGTATTTGTACTGGTCTTATATTAGAGGTACAAAGTCACACAGTTTTTTAAATGACAAATTCCACATATATGCTTAAATGTTTTAACACTAAAAATTTTGGGGCCCTTTATAGCTTGCTGTTCAGTGTGAGCCAATGCTTCCTGTTGAAGGCCATATACTTTCAATCTATAATTGGTTTACTTTTATAAATTGTTTTTTGGGATGGAGAGTTGTCTCATCGGCACTCATACCACATTTTCTTATATCTATCAAACACATTAATCTGATACATTTTTGTTGTAAAAGATTTTAAAAAACTACAACATGTGCGCAATTACAATAATATACACATGTACATGTATAATAATTTGATTCACTACTCATTTGTTCTGTCATTCATTGAATATTGCTTTATGAATAAATCAATCCTTGATTTGATGCCTAGTTATTTTTATTCATTGTTTTATTTTATTGTTGGTTTGCTGTAACATTAAGGTTTATCCCATAAACATGACAAACTGTATAATTAATAATTTCTAGGTAATGTACCTGTTTATCTAAACTGAAGTTAATCTATACATCACAAAACTCAACAGATCCAGACTGGTAATCTTGAATTAAATGGTCTATTTCATAAGCCTCATCCTCTCCTTCATATTTGATCTCATAAACAGCATTCAAATTACCATCAGTCCCAGACAATACAGAAAGAATAGTTCCTTTGTACCACTCTTTTTTACCTAATTGTTCATCGATTATCCATTCCTGTTTGATACTTCTACCCAAAAATTTGGTTGGTCTCAGCCTTGTTCTCCTGAAAGGAAAGTAAGGAAGCACAAACTGCATTATTTAATTTGTACAATTAGAAAGAGCAATGTATGATAATAAACGAATAAAGTGATTTTTTATGTCAAAACATGTTATAACTTGACAATTCATAAATTTAATAGGTCTTACTATTTTTATTAAGAAGGGATATAGTTACGATACTGTTGTCAGGTCATTAAAGATTGCATATTTTGGCGTTAATATTTATTCACTTATAGGGTCTTTGCATCGGAATTAAACACATTTATTTAAAAACCAGTTGTTGGCATGACACGGGTTATGTTCTTCTCATATATGTTATGATGGTATGATACTAAACCCCTAACGGGAAGGATTGTGCCTGATATTCATATGATGAAGACATAATCTTTCAATCAGTTTAATTGAAGTCTGGAGCTGGCATGTCAGTTAACTGCTAGTAGTCTGTTGTTATTTATGTATTATTGTCATTTTGTTTATTTTCTTTGGTTACATCTTCTGACATCAGACTCGGACTTCTCTTGAACTGAATTTTAATGTGCGTATTGTTATGCGTTTACTTTTCTACATTGGCTAGAGGTATAGGGGGAGGGTTGAGATCTCATAAACATGTTTAACCCCGCCGCATTTTTGCGCCTGTCCCAAGTCAGGAGCCTCTGGCCTTTGTAAGTCTTGTATTATTTTTAATTTTAGTTTCTTGTGTACAATTTGGAGTTTAGTATGGCATTCATTATCACTGAACTAGTATATATATTTGTTTAGGGGCCAGCTGAAGGACTCCTCCGGGTGCGGGAATTTCTCGCTGCATTGAAGACCTGTTGGATACCTTCTGCTGATGTCTGTTCTATGGTCGGGTTGTTGTCTCTCTTGACACATTCCCCATTTCCATTCTCAATTTTATTGACTTCAAATAATATCATTGATTTAAAAAAAAAATGACCTAAAGTTGTTTATGCTGGTGGTTATGTTGTGCTGTTGAATTGCTGTTTCATTAATGCAAGCTTCGATTCTCATTTTAATCATTCTTCATTGTTTCCATGGTTATATGACCTTACTATTTAGCTTTTTTATATAAATGGTAATGTTCTATACATTTTCATTGAAATGTTTTACCAAAAGTTCATCTACAGTTATAAACAATTTTTTTTAGCAAATAATGTGTTTTGTAAACAACTTATATAAATCTTTTATGGCATATAATAAATCATGCTTTTTAATGTTTATACTAAATATATTATATTCAAACATAATGATAAAGTTACCTATTGCGAAGTGGAGCAGGTCTTTGAAGTTCAGTGTCAACTATATCAGAGTCAGATGAGCTGGATGATTCAGATACTCGTTTCTTAGATCTTGCATTAACTGATTCTGTAGAGCTTTTACTTCTTTTTCTTCTAGGTCGCTTTGATTGTAATGGTGCAGCATACTGTAAATGAAATATTTAGTATTAAAACGGTGTCAGTTTTCATTACAATTTGCCAAAAAAATATATAATATATTTGAAGACAATATTGAAAAGCACTGCAAAAAGTGTTGAAGCTTTAGTTAGAGTACATCTGATTCTTAATTTCCTCCAAGAGGGGCACTGGATCATGTGCTGTTTATTTCTCACTTGTACAACACCACCGCCTATTATATATATATATAAATATATATATAAATACAAAGATAAAATATATATATACCTGTAATATATACATATATCTTTGTATAAGCTCTTATGCAATATTCACAAGCAATTACCATTTAATTTGTAGAAGGATTAAATACAAATAATTTTTTATTTGCCATACTGACATTGACATATACCATGTATACCAAGTAGTTCTTTTAAATACATGTATTCATATGTGATACAAGACAATTTATCTTTCATGATCAGTTTAAACACCAAAAAATCAAATATATAATGCTTAATATGCCAGTAAACACATTATCTCTTAGTCTATATAGCATTATTTGATGTCTGTCATATTAATATAAATTAAATTTTTATTTAACATACATTTGTACACGTAATAGCATGAACATAATTGTTTAATGATACCAGTATGAATTTCAATTGAAAATCGACATGAAAATCATACATATTTTCAACTTACACTCATATAAGGCGATGGAAGGCATCTGATTGAAAAAAAAATAGCTTTATGCACTGTGTCTATACTTACTGTTGTACATGTATATCAAACGTATTTTACTAATGGTTACCATACTTCATGTCAGGGGGTCTGAATGGGGATATATCATGCATTTTCATATACAATAATTTAGGTGATTTTTCTCTATTCTTACTGTACATTATCGTCCAATTTTTTCTATTGGCCTGATTTTTGTCTAGTTTTGTTCCATTCATCTGTATTCTCTTAACCTCATTCCAGACAATATTGTATTCATAACAACTTACCCATATTCCAGGTTCTCGAATGCCTGGGCTTTTTCCTTCTCGAGGACTTGCTAACTCTGGAAGTAGCACTTTGTTGTAGAATGCTTCCAGTTTTGGCAACATGGTGTTTTCCCACAAATCAATATTACGATAAATTCGCTGAATAAAAAGTTGATGAGGATTTAAAGTTCTAACTACAAAATCGATCCATTCTCTGTTACAAATGTTGATAAGACCATGGCATTGATAAAAATATATGTGATTTTCTTTAAGTTCCAGTTTTCCATTCAGATTTTTGAGACAAAAGTTTTTGTTTTCCGAAGCTTGCCAAAGATTTATAGGTTTGGAATGTAACAAATTTTTAATTTCAATTAAACCAAATTTTCCTTTAGATGTTGAAACTAAACCATCTGGACTTCCAGCCAAGAATGTTTGAGTTGGATGTATAACAAGTCCACTGCGCTCAACACAAACATTTTCTGATTCCTCAGCTTTTTTCAATTTATATTCTTCAATAGTTGTATCTTCTTCAAGAATACCTTTTCTGGTGTGACGATTTCCAGTAAATGTAGAGTATAGAATATTACGGATAAATTTAGCTGTTAGAAGTGACGGGTTTCGTTTAACAATAGATCCAAAATTAGATGCTGTAATTCTTTTTTTTCTCTCAGAATGCCAAAGACCAGATTGTGATTGTAAAATTGTCAAATTTGTTATGTTTAAGCGTTGTTGTTCCGAAAGGTGAATATGAAGGTTTAAATAGTCTTGTTTCAGTTTTTCGAGATTATCAGAAGTAACGTCATCAGTAACATCTATGGCTTCTGGACCATAAGCTTTGCGAGCTTTCTTGGAGGTGCTTGTTTTGAGACAGGACATCTTTTTCTTCCATCGAACCTGTTGAATATTAGGTTTAGACTTGTGCCTGATCGAATTGGCCAATGTCTGTTCATGACGAGCATACAATTTCCGGAAAAGATGTCCTGGCTCAGTACCAGTACTTGACTCCCAAACCTTACAAGACCACTGTGGTCCTAAATTCATTCGCAGAGCCCCACCATAGCAACGAGCATGCCAAGATCCTCGATTGCAGAGGTTGTGTACCTTGCCCCCATCAAACTTGGTTCGGATATGCATCCAGCTTTCTGCAAGATTGGTTGTGGAGTTGTTTATAAGTCGATCGGATTTTTCAGCAATCCTGCATAAAAGGTTTGTTACATCTTTTATGATGTGCTGCTCCACATTACTGTATGCTATCGTGGTACCAAAGCGAGCCTGTTCCTGCGCTGAAATAGATGCCCCCTCACTCCAGTAATTTATCTGTTGGTCAATTAACTGTTCTTCAATACCTGATTCAGATGTGTTGGTAGATATTTGTAGAGATGTATTATCCTCATTTGTAGTTTGGAGCTGCTGATTTTTTGCCCGACAAAAATCAGAACAATGGCTATGGTTGCCAAAAACATGGTGAACAGAATTCTTTATGTCATGTGTTAGTTTTCTTATGGCATTATATTTATCAATTTTTTTGTCCTTTAGATCTCTGGAGCGGACACGTATTGCACATCTGAGTGCACTTACAAGTCGAACTCGAGTATTTTTTGTCAAGTGATGTTTTCCTTTATAGAGTGGATTATCTGTTACCAATTTTTCTAGGTTTGATCTAAAACATTTACAAAGGTGATTTGCACACTCCTCTTTTGAAACAGACCGTCCCCAACCTGGTACTTCCTCTCTGATTCTAGCAAAAACAGAGGAATCCCCATCCCCTACCAGTCTCATATATCTAAGTCCGTGTCTGTTTTCGGCCTCACGAAACCCTTCCAATATTATGTCACCCTCCATCGACTGACTGTCTTGATCCCAATTTTTGAAGCAAGTATGAGGTGTACTATCATTTTTGTTACAGATGTAGCAATATTTGTTTCGAACTCCAATGTGTAATAATTTTTTTGTTTCTTTGCCAATAATTATAGCTACACCACCAGCTGCATTGTACGAATGTTTATGTGTTCTTTTAGACCACCCACCATCTGCTATAACTGTAATTGCCGGAATTTCTTCATGGAAATCATTTCTTTCAATAGCTAGACGCCTCTCTTCTTGGCCTGCAATCATCATCTCTTTATCTAGAACGCTGTGCCACCAATTGCCTATCTCTGTTTCAATTGCGCTAAAAGACGGCTGCGATAACCCTGGGGAATTTAGAGTTGCTAAAAACTCATTAAGGTGAGATGGGCCATTGCCGGTCACCATACTGCCCCAAACTGCACGTACATTAATGTCATATCTTTTAGATCCTGGGACCTTTGGACTGCTTTCAAGCTTAAATTTCTGTAAACATCCCATGCACTGAGCCAACATAACAGTAGCCAAACCAAGCGAACGCACTTCTGTCTCTAACTTAATTGGTGCCTTCCCTTCCTTAGCCAAGTTTATTGCACCGGCACATAAACATACATGCAAAGTAATATCAGATATGTGTGCTTGTAGACAGTCTAAATTCATAACCCGATAACCCTTTGCAATTGGCAAGTTGTTTTTTACTTTTTGAATCTTTAGCTTCAAGTCACAACCAGTTGAGAATGTTGTATAAACTTCTTTGTTTCCATACAGTGGTTTGTTATTGAAATGTTTGTTTATCTTGCGTATTTTCAACTTCAAAATGTGTTTTCTTTGGTTTCTCTGCCTTTTAATTTCATAAACTGGTCTACCCAAATGTTTTACTCTTTTAAATGTTCTGTGTCTCCCTAAACCTCTACCAAAAATGCGACCTTTCTTGTATTTGCTCCCCATTTTACTTCATATATATATATTGTTGCAATTCAATCTGTTTCCCTTTCAGTGTTTCCTTTTGCTTTCCTTAGATTTTTGTTTTATATGTTCCTCTAATGAAACTTATAATTTTTACTTACCTGTCAAAGTATACCATTCTTACCTATATGTATGTGCCTCAAAATCATTATTTTTTAAAATAAAATTAGTAATTATTGAAATATTACCTACCGGAAATGCATGTGTGCAGAGAAAATCATTCCACAAACATAGTTGATTTTTATCCCTTGTACTTACAAACAGCCTCCGATCGTTCATTAATTATGTTATTTGTTTTGGGTTTATATATATAAATGACATGACACATAATCTTACCTATAAATATTCATCGATTGTCCATAAAAAGTATTAAAACTGTTTGTTTACGTCTTCGTGATCTTTGATCAACCATTTTTCTCCGAACCGGATATAAGTTATCTGAAATAGTTAATGCTTTCGTATTAGAGTTAAGTGTTAAATATTATGTAAATCGTTTAATAACTATGCATTTAATATTAAAATAAACTTCTTCGTATCAAAACCAATGTTGTATTATTAAAAATTTCAATATTATAGAGTTTTCTCTAATTCGAAACAGCGGATTAATTTTAACTTCTACTTTCGGTTTCCAAAGGTATGGACAACTGTAAATAAATTTTGATTTTAAGGTAAAAAAAGGTAAATGCATTCAACAAATAAATGTTATGGACACGCAATACAATATTAAATTTAAGAAAAATCATAATAAAGGGGGATCAAAGCTAGGGATTTCTAATGCATGCTGGAAATTCAACGCCACATTGAAATTTAAAAATAGCGCCCTTTATTTTTTGTACAGCAGTCAAACAATTTAGTAGAACTGTTTAACAGATAATTGACATGCATTTTAAATGCTAGCTTGTACTTCATACAAACTTCACCCATACATTGTACGATCCTTGGCAAGGAAAAGTGCTATTTATGAGAACTGGATTTATTGAAAAAATGTGTCTTGGAAAGTCCAATTTTCATCTTTTAAAATCAGAATTACGTATTTTGTTTTTTTAAATTTTCCAAAATCCTTTCATCACAAGTAACTTCATATTGGTGTTAATGTATGGACTTAATATTAAGACACAAGTGTAAGAACTAGCTTAGAAATAGCACATTTAATATAATGCCTCTTATGAAGAAAAATTTGACTTTAGCGGAACCTTAAACACCCAATCCTGAAGTCCCGATAAAGGTCCTTCAGTGATTCCCTATATAATCAACCAAATTTTTTCCATACCTTCTTATTTAATATTTTTCCCATTTTGAGTACTGACGGCAAGTGTTGTAACGTATACATATTATTGTGTACCAATGTCTTGAGACCAATGTGCTATTTTACAAGTGCGATCGATGAATGCAGGGGAAAGAAACTTATCAATTGTGTTTATTCTTAAGACAAAACTGAGCCGCCGTAAAAATGAACTGTGTCGAGAAGGTTACTGACACGTAATAGGGCAGAGACATATCATGATACACATATGTGTATATATGTCTCTGTAATAGGATCATCCCTCGAGAACATTAACTAGTACATTGATAATTTACTATGCAGTCAGTATCCCGGGAAAAAAACGACGGTATGGCCGATGCAAAACTCTTAGTGGTTTCGGCTGACTACTAATACGTGCACTTTGTCTCAAAATATCCCGGCAGCGTTAAAGTTGAAGTCAGGATCTTGGGGTTGTTGGTCTTCTTTTTCTGTGTTCTTTATTTTTTTTAGCTATATTTCTACAAACTTACACTTTTTGCTCATTACTCTCTTTCCTCATATTTTAGCATTTCATTATTCTTTAATCTTTATTGTTTGCCCGTTATTCTCTATTCTGTTAACCCCCATCCATACCCTCTTATGTGGACTTTCGGTAGTTTATTTTATCCTATTTCTGTCTATGTGAATGTAAAAACATTATTTATCACAAAACAAAAACTTACTAAATATTTTTTTATGAAGTCCTCACCAGTTGCGGATCCAAAAAATGTCATAAGGAGGCACTAACTGTCATGCATAAAGAGGGGGCCCGCTTCAGTGATTCTCTAAATAATCAACCAATTTTTTTCCAAAAAAGGGGCGGGCCCCAATGCCCCCACCTTAATCCACCTCTAAACCCTTCCCACTTCGTATCCTTGAATTCAGATTCAAGATCTCTCTGACTAAAGTAAGTAAGTAAGTCACATTTGCTTATATCAGGTTTTTGAATTGAACTGGCGGATAGTTGTTTCATTACCAATCGTACCACATCTCCTTATTTTTATATATACGAAAGCTTTATTCATCTTGTTTGGTGTATTGATGAATGTGTAAAGATGCAGCAATTGTAATACATTTTGAAATACAGCACAAGAGATGCAGATTATATAAAACTTATAAGTCGAAGACATATACTGACAACGCCATGGCAAAAACTTAAAAACGACCAAATGACGTACAACAGTCTATAAAACTTAACTATAGCATACAAAACGCAAACATTTAAAACACATAAGAAGCACCCAGACAGTCAAATAGAAATTAAAAGAATAAATAATTTGTAAAGATTTTCAACTAGGCCTACAGCTATATTTTCTTATCGTCTAACAGTAAACATAGGTTCTGGTATTATGTGATAAGTCATTTTTTCATGCAGACCCAGTTTCATTGATACCTTGAACTTAAAGTGGTTTTATGCATATCAGCCCAGATTATGTGTGTAATTTTATTAAACAATTCAACAATACACGTTCTAAACAGGTTAAATTCAATTTAAAAATTTACAAATTCAGATCTACTGGCATTCAACACCCAATTATTTACTTGCTGTATATTGCTAACTTTGATTGTATATTGTCAATCCCTCCACATCGTGAATACGCCATGCGAGGTGTTGGCTAAGTTTGATACAGGATGGCGGCTTCGAAGCGTAGAAAACAATCCAGGTAAATGAAAGTGTAAAATTTTGTTGTTGAAAATTTTAAGTACTAAATTCCTAAATTTGTACTTAACTCCGTTCTACGGGTAACATGGTTGTTTGATATGAAAATAGGATAAAAAGCATACGGAAAAATTAATTATCACATTATAAGTATTCGTAAATGGATATGAAAAACTTAACAAGGAATAAGTATTGGTAAACGGACAGAAAGTCGCAGTACAAAAGTTTAAATTAATTATTTTACAATTGTTTAAATATATGAGAGAAAGTTCTTGACGAATTGACTTTACTCATAGATAAATGTATTTAGTTGAGGAAATGATTAATTCGCCTTCAAATAGTTTTTTTTTATCAATAACTTATAAAAAGGAGACATTTTTGACAGCATGAAGCCAGTTAATTACCAAACCTCTTTGGCAGATTGTTTTCTTAACAATCATTGTTCAATATTAATATTAAAAAATAAATTTTGTTTACAAGTCCGTTTCTTTTTAAAAATGTTTCAGAAAAATACTGAAACGTTTTTAAAATTAAAATTATTCAAAGAAAATAATATCCCAAAACTGAATCGTGACTTTTTACTTGATACTTTTTGTTGTACGTTCTAAGTGTCAATCCTAGCAAACACAAATTTGGAAATAAAATCGATTTCAATGTAATTTTATAGAAGGAAAAAGGGGGGTTAATGAACAAATTATTACTACACACTCACATACTTCTAAAAAGATTTGCATATGTAAGCTGTCTATAGATAATGTTAAATTATTTCAGGAGTTTCAATTAATTTAGGAGGAAAAAAAAGATTATAAACAGTTTGGTTTTCGACGCCTACTACTACAAAAATAGTGATTCTTTTTGTAGATTTGGTACTTCAGTTTCGACTCAAAATTTCCTATTGAAATTGTTAGATGCCAAATATTTAGGAGAAGATTGTACTTGTACATTATGTAATTGTGGTGATAGTGGCGACGCGATTCATTATATTATAGCAAGGATTTGTAAAAATACTTGATTATAGAATGTTCGGCAATAGACGAAAGTAGACAAACCCTATTTAAACGGGGTTTTGATCTCCAAGGACGTCACATTTTACATCGAATAAGATCTATATTTGTTAACGTTTTCAAATGAAATAACTTGAATTGAAAATTTCCCGACTATGTTAAGATTTCTTATATTTCTAAATGGCTTCAATTATTACATACAAAACGAAAAATTTATTTAACTTTTTTTGTAAAAACAATATTCATGTATTTTTATAATTTTTCCAAGGAAACGTTGTTTTTTTTTTTGGTTTGTTTGTAAAGTTTACTTGTATGTGTTTATAACCATCACCAATCAGTCCTAATTATTAAAGATCAAACGTCCTAATCAAAATGATGATTGGTATTGAATATGATCATCGGTCATGCATGACGTATCCCAAATAACTTCTTAAATGTTGGTTTGATTTTATCAAAACCAAAATTATGAGATCAAATATTAAATTATCTATCGAATGTATACCATCAACGCTCACTAAAACATATAAACATGTCCTGACTGACTTTTTATGTCCTGTCTGCACTCAGGAGGTCCTGAGCGGTTTTTAGACGTACCGTTAATTTATAGGCATATATTTGAAGCTGTTCTTAATTATGTTCATTATCTATAGGTATACATTATCAGACAAAAAGACTTTCCAATGAACTTAGTTCTAGTTATCTTAGTTCCTAGTCACAGGCACTTGTCTCAGAAAAAAAATTCCTATATACTTTTAATGTTATATTAAGCATGGACTTTCTATACTAAGTTAGTATAGAAAGTCCCTGTATTAAGGTATATAGGAAACAAAATTCTGAGACAAGTGCCTGTGGTCTAAATAAATCCACTGGGAATTGGCCTTTTTAAACACATCTATATATACGTTTTCTCAAGGGTTTGTACATGTTAAGTGAAATTATGTTTACTCAATGCGTAGTAACATAAGTTTTTTTTGCTACTTTTTTCTTTATTTTATATAAATGATTTTTTTCTAAAATTTTAACATTTTTTTCTTCGAAAAAATTGTAGTGTTGCAATAGGGAATGGACATAGATACTTAACTAGATTTAACGAAAGAAATTTTGTGTAATGTCATCAATCTGTATTACACATAGACAGGATGTTCTCTAGAAAACTATGGTATTTCTAATATGTTATACACACCCCAGGGTACACGCACTGTCGTAATGGAAAATGACTGCATGCTTTAATTACCTGTAATCAGCCATGCAACAAATCAGTTGACTGACCATGTCATTACAGTTTAAAAAGTTTTTCCTCAGATCAAAACGGAATATACATTTTAACTTTAAAATTTAAAACTTTAAAAAGTATACTTTGACATAATTATGAAGTAAAAGAATTTAACAATTTAATAATCGGATTTTTCCAAAGATTAAGATAAAATTATATTTATTATTCTGGGACTGACAGATATATCACAGGCACTTGTCTCAGATTTTTTTTCC